TTTCATTTTAAAGAATTTCATTAACAATTATTTTTTAGACGAATTTTTATTTTTCGTATTTCTTATGAAACAAATTTTTACTTAACAAAATTTTTGGGTGTCTTTTATTTGGCAAAATTACGAAGCTGAAGTACGCAACGTTTATATAAACGATTTTTAAAGAAATAATTTTTTAAAATGAAAAGTTCTATAATTTTTTGCCTAAAAAATATTTCTTGTAGTTTTCAATAATCAACAAATTATAAAATAATATTTTTTAGATAAAAAATTATAGAATTTTTCATTTTAAAAAATTATTTCTTTAAAAATCGTTTATATAAACGTTGCGTACTTCAGCATCGTGCAAAATTTTTATTTAACAGAATATCTTTTTGCCCAATTTTTTATTTAAAATAATTATAATTTTACGGAATTTTAATTTAGCATTATTTTCTTTCAACGCAGAATTTTAAGTATGTAATTCGGTTTTTGAAATTAAAAAAAATTCCAAAATTCACCGAATTTTAATTTGTTCGAATTTTTGTTTAATTGCTGAAATTTTTAAAACGCTGAATTTTTATTTGTCCGAATTTACAAATAATGGCCGAACAAACGTAATCGACAGAAACATTTCGGCGCGATTTTTAAAATCAACCAATCACAATATTTTATGGATAATTTTTGATTGGTTGATTTTAAAAATAGCGCCGAAATTTTTCTATCGATTATTTATTCGGCCATTTGAAATTTCGGAATAAGATTCGATGAATTGGAAATTCAATTAAAAATTTATTTAAAAATTCAAAGCACTTAAAATTCTATGTTTATTAAATGAGAATACTGCTAAATTAAAATTCAGTTAAATTAGAATTATTTTAAATAAAAAAAGTTGTGTAATGTGAAATTCTGTAAAATAATAATTTTATAAAATAAAACTTTGATACGTAAAAATTCTGTAAATTAAAAATTCGTTTTAAAATAAATTTTGTCAAATTATTATTATTATTATTATTATTATTATTAGTTATTATTTTTATTTGTTTCTTACTTTTTTTATATTTCTTAAAAAATATTTCAGTGCTCAAGCAAAATAATTATGTTTTTAAGTTTTAATGATTTAAGTTTCTTTATTTTTCAACACACTGACAAATTTTATATGTGTAATTAATTTTTTAATGAGATTAGTTTACTTTTTAATACATCACATTTCATCAGTTTAATTTTACACAAACTTTGATAAATATCAATACAATCTCTAATGTCATATTATAGCAAGTTCAATATCAAAATATGTATATGAAAGAATTAAATTTTATTATTACTCGTTATTTAATTAATTTAATTCTCGTTAAAATTTGTTTAAATATAATAAATTTTAATGGTTATTATACACTATACATAAAAATCAATAATATAACCAAAGGATAAATCTAAACCAAACAAAATAAATTATTTTTGTTTAAGGGGAGGAACTATTTTTAACCTACTGCGACACTTTTGTTGTTATTATATAGGTAACAATTTTTTTTTCCTGACATTATATTTAGGATTTAATAATATTTTACGTTATTAAAATTCAAAAAAAAATATATTTTTTAATATTTTGGAAATTTTATTTTTTGCAAACATTAAATTTTTTTAAAACCTACAGAAAATTGATTATTTAGAATGATGAAAAAAGTGTAAAAAAAAAAATTGTAAATGAAAAATATTAAAAATTGAAGAAGAATTTTAATTTCCAATTTTTCGTGGAATTTTAAATTACAAAATTTTTTTTTTTAATAAATTTTTTTTCAATGTAGTAATTTTTGAAAAATTTATAGAATATGAATGTAAAAATGCTTAAATTTAAAGTGGTTAAATATGATAATTTATAAATGTAAATGTAAATTAAAAATTAAATCAATGCCAAAAATATTTAAAATTAAATTTTAAATCATTTTTTTTTTTTTTTATTGTATTAGAATATTTGATATTTAGTTAAATTAGAAACTAACCTTTATTAACACCTTATTTTCTTGAGAGCAAAAACATAAAAATTCTTCCAAAAAAAAATTTGTTATCAACTAATTTAATTTATAAAACTAAAATATTTAAAATTAATTAAATTTTATAAGTTTATTTCAATATAAAGATCAAAAAATGTCTCTAGGATGATTTTTTTTTAAATTATTGATAAAATAAAAAGGAATATTTTTAAAAAAATTGAAAAAAACCAAAAAAATTAGTTTTTCATTTTTTTTTTTTATTATTATATAATAACAAAATTTTATTTTTATTTTACAATTTACCCTTGAAGAAAATAATTCAAAAAAAAAATAATAAAAATTGAAAAATAATATTTTTAAATAATAATTATTTGATAAATAGATATTTTACGTTTCGAAATTATGAAAAAAAATGAATTTTCATTGTCATAAATAGGTAGTTCCCGTATAGTTGTTTTCTTCCTTTTCTATATAGTGTACATTACTTCATCTAAATTTTATCTTTATAGATTTACAATACCGTTTTCTTTTTAGATTTAATTCTCCACATGCGGTTATCTTAATAGAGAAGCGTATTAAAAAAATTTTTAATTTAAAAACTTGTTTCAGCAAAGGTATATATATATATATATATATAATATGCTTCGCTTAATACAAGAGAATCAGCCATTGACTTTACGCGTGTTAAATGTAAAATATTTTTTTTCATAAAATTGAAATAACAATAATACCCTTTCAGATAAGATAAGTCTTTCTTATAAAGCCGGAAAAATTAAAATTGACATAAGGAATTTTCAAACAATTTCCTGGGATAAGAAAAATATCTTCACGATATTTGCGTTGAGAAATATTATTATTATTATTATTATTATTATTATTATTTAATTCTATACTATTGCGCGAGCGCGATTATTTTAAGAAGAATCTTAAATATAATTTAGTTGTTTATATATATATGTGTTGTACGACTTGTGATTCATAACTTAATTAAGTAAGAATTGAAAGGCTTCACTTAAATGAACACACAACGATTGACAATTGCTTTTAGTCATTTTTAGGAATAAAATATGAAGCCATATTCATGGCCAAGTGTTAATAAATCAATAATAAAAACTCTGTTGTGAAACAAAATATAAACGAATTAATTTGACCTCGTATTTATAGCAAAAGTTTATTGATATTTTTGCTCAAAAATTTTTCTTGTCACTTTATATATATATATATATATATATATATATATACAAAAATTATATTTACTTTCATTTACACAAAAGGTTCAGATACATAAATAAATGAAATTTATAAAAAAAAATCGATTTAAATAAAATTATATTAAAAATAATTTTCACAAATTTTTTTGTTAACAAATTAGTGGGAATTAAATAAAAAAAATTTGTATTGAAAGATTTTTGTAAATATGAGTTTTATATTTAAAGTAATACTATTTTTTAATTTTTCTCAAAGTAAAATTTCATTTTTCATTGTTTAAAACAAAATTGGAATAATATCACCGTTTTCTTTTACCTGTTCTAGATTAATCTTTTTAAGGCCATGTATAAATTTTCACACGGGAGTACAATGAAAAAATTCAAGGTCGTCTAACATAACCTTAAAAGTCGTTTAAAGGAAGAAAAATTTTATATTAAGAATAGAATATCACATTTTAATAACGATTTTTTTTCTGTTAACAGTAAATAGAATGTATAAAAAAAAAAATTCGACAACTAGACGCGAAAAATAGAAAAAAAAATCTCACATATATTATAAGTGTGAGAAACTCATCGACTTGGCCGGTTGTTGTTACCGGTGCATGTCGCGCGTCAGGTCCGCCTGGTGTGATAACGACCGGGTCGGATTGTTGACTATACAATATAAACTACAAAATGTAAACGCAATGTGAGTTATCTTCGAACATTTAAGAATAAATCCAGATTGGAGAAAAACAATATTCATTACAAAAAAAAGTCATTTTCAATGTTGTCAAAAAAGCACAATTTTAAATTAACATGCAAAATTATAAAATTTCTAAAATTGAACTAAAAACATTATTACTAATAAATGACTATTAATCAGTAAAAGAAAATATTAAAAAAAACCTTTTTTTTAATGAATATAAATATTTATATGGTGTGTGGAAACAATATAAATTTAAATGCTCTTTATTTTCTAAGAGAAAATACTTCGTGTTAAGTGATGTATTTCATTATCATTTTATATGAGCGTTAATTGTGTTGGCTGCTAACTTCTCAATATCATTTTGCTTGATTGAAGTTATATTTTATGAGAGAGAGAGAGAGAAAAAAAATGCAATGAATGAAAGGCCCTTTATTTCTCTAGAGAGAGGAAGTAGAACTCTATAATTATAGAAGTCACACCAGAAAATTATTTTAATTATATTTTGCAAATGGGAATGAATTTTTTTTTTTCTAAGAAAAATTTCACAATTTACTCAACTTACAAATTATTTCTTAAATTGGATCCATTTTTTTTTTCGACAAAAATTGTAAAATTTTTTTTTTAATAATATGCAATTTTTGAGGTTAATTTACATGTTTATTTTAGAATAAAAAAATCAGTAGAGAAAAAAACGAGAGCTAATTTTTGAAAAATAAAATCAAAATAACGTTTGCAGCTCAAAATTATTGTAATCAGCGTTGGTAGAGAACTGGTTTTGAAATACAGATCTTCATACTATAATTGCAAATTCAAGTTTAGAAACAAAAAAAAAAAAAAACGAAATCAATACCAATTTTTGCAAAATTATTTTTCTATCCAAAAAGTACCATAAAAATATTTTATACTTTTTTTTCTATTCCATATATTCGCGCGGGTTTACTAATCAAAAAGCTCCCAGACTATTTCCCATTATTATAATCAGAGCTTAAATAAATTCCCCATAGCGAATTTTCAATAAATTAATATTATACTTTCATGCATTATACTCTCTTGTAAAAAAAAACATTCGAATGATTTTTGTTATATAGAATGGCTAGTATTTGGAGATGGAATCGATTATATTTTTCTACTACTCACATATATATCTGTATATATAGAAAATGGGCAAAATCTAAGTCCGCCTTTCTCTGGTGCTCCGCCGGTGGTTCCTTTTGCGGTTGAAGATTTTTTTTTTCAATATCTTTTTTTGTTTTATGAGATTAAACAGAACACGCACTGCACGAGACAAACACTATATTATAATGCGGGCGAGGGTGGTGCCGGTGATGGGTGGTGGTAAAATGGTGGGTTCGTTTGAAGACCGGTTGATTTCAAAATTCGAAACGTTCCTTTCACGACGATGTCTCGAGCTTGACTGAGGCACGCCGAGTGCGTAATGGTTTAAGCCAGACTATCCGCGGGCCCAACCGTGATCACAATACATATCACATATCGGGTGTCATGAAGAAGAACTCTCTGAGAGCCATTTCCTCTCGCCGGATATATGAAATTAACCCTCCCCCCCCTTTGATTCATGTGAATTATCAAGGACGATTTCTTACACCTTAACCACCCAGTGTGGTGTTATTTCTCTCTTTCTCTCTCTCTCTCACTCACTCACTCAAATCTTGATCAAGGGGAGATTAAACACATATTATGAGAAATGAGAAATTTAAATATAGGTACTATTCATTTTTAGATGTAGAGGAATTTATACACTTGAGGAAATTTACAATTAGCAAATTCGAATGATATTGAATCTATCGAATTTAGACTGATTTAGACACATATTAGAGAATGCATAGAAATAATGCAGCATTTTTTTTTTTTTGACTGTGAAACTATTTGTTATCTCAACTACCTATATCATGTAATATCACAGTAATAGTGCAGGTAGTGTAATTTTTGTGTAAAATTACAATGCAATACTGCAAGAGTCTTTTTGTTTTAAGAAAAAAATCTTGCCAGTGGGAATCAAACTCTGAACCTTACGCACATGAATCGGAAGTCTTAACCAACGAACCAATGTGACTTGCAGACAATTTAAATTATTTACAAGATATAAAACTAGATTCCCAAGTAGCACGTGATATAATTATAATATCAAGGTAATATTACATCTAATATTCGTAATATTACATCTGAGATTCGTAATATTACGATGTGATATTGCAGTAATCTTACAGTATTCTTAAAATTTCCACCTCAAAGGAATATTACATGGCAATATTGATGTAAATTACTTTTTAATATTAATGTAATATTCCATCATAACATTAAGGGTTTTATTTCATTGTAATATTTATTAATATTCAAGTAATATTACACGCTAGTTTGAAATAATTTTTATTTAATGAAAAAAGTTTAGGAGGCGGGAATCGAACTCCGAACCTAAGGCATACATCAATCGAGAATTTTAACCAAAGACCAATTGTACTTGTGTATAATATGTTTAAATTATTCACAAACATATGTTTAGAGTTATTCATATTTTGTCAAAAATCTAACTACACTATAATTTAATTATTATAGTTTATTATAACTTTAATTTAAATATTTATCTTCCTATATTACAAAAAGATATCGCCGCCGCCGCTGTTTCAAGAATTCTTGACCTTCAGGTTAGGTTAGGTTAGGTCAGTTAAGGTTAGGTTAGTTTAGATCAGGTTAGATTATACCCTCAAAATTACGTCAATTATCGCGGGTCAAAAGGTGAACATAACCTTAAAATTAGGTCAAATATCGCAGGTCAAGAGACGAACATAACCTCAAAATTAGATAAAATATGAAGCTCCCCCCTCCCCTACAAGACCTACGACCCATAGAGGTCATAGGTCAAGAGGCAAACATAACCTCAAATTATGATGCTCCCCTCCCTCCTCTCCCGCAAGTCAGTGGCCATAGGTCAAGAGACAAACATAACCTCAAAATATGATGGTCGAGAGTCGAACATAACCTCAAAATCAGGCCAAATATCACAGGTGAAGAGGCGAACATAACTTCAAAAATTATGTCACATGTCAAGAGGGAAACATAACCTCAAAATATGATGTTCGAGAGGTCGAGAGTCGAACATAACCTCAAAATCAGGCCAAATATCACAGGTGAAGAGGCAAACATAACTTCAAAAATTAGGTTACAGGTCAAGAGGCAAACATAACCTCAAAATGAGGTTAAAATGAGGTCAAATATGTCAGGTTAAAAGGCGAACATAACCTAAATTAAGTCATTTAATAAATTAAACAACATAACATAAATTAAGTCAAATTAAATTAAAATTAAATAAATGAAAGATAGGGGGGTTGGCGCGTCAAGCACGCAGGGGGGCGGAGCCCCCCTAGTTTATTATAATTGTTTATATTAAACCTCTGCCTAGGCTAACTTATCCCCACTCTAGCGTCACTGTACGTAATTCTCATAGTCTCCACCAAGCGACAAATTTGTCGTTTTTTTCACGGGCGTTTAAGAAACAATAAAGGCCTGAGCAGAATAGAAAATGTAATCAGAATCGTAATCGCAAACGGAAGAATGAATTAGAGAAGAATAGACATATTGTTTATTCTTCTCTAACTCATTATTCCGGTTGCGTTTACGTTTACGATTCTGAATACGTTTCTATTCTGTTCAGGCGTACAACGGGAAAAATGAATTAGAAAAGGATAGACATATTGTTTGTCCTTCTCTAACTCATTATTCCGCTTGCATTTACGGTTACGATTCCGGTTACGTTTCTATTTTACGTCGTTCTTAACAGATGTGATGATAAAAATAAGGGTGCAAATATTTCAATGTGAGTTATATATCATATTTTCGTCACTATTTATAGGTTAGTAATATTATCTTCAAAGCAGAACAGCTTCGCAAACGTGGTTCATGAGATAGAAAAGGACACAAATATATATCTGTCCTTTTCTAACGCATGTATCTCGTTCGCGAATGACTTTCGCGAAGCTATTGTGCGTTGGCTCTAACACGTGAATTGTAAACATCAAAATTATTCTATTTTGAAAAACGTCTAAGTGGTTAATTGTTTTACTGTCATGAACATAACCTTAAAAATTAGATTTTTTTATTAAAAATTATGTTTGCAGTGTCCAATATAATTGATTTTTGAAGAAAATAAAGGTAAGTACTTATTTTTTTTTATCAAAATGATTTCTTGTTATAAATTAAGAATAGAGTAAATTAGTACGTTTTCTATATACATTCTATTTTTAAAAATTCCAATATGAATAAGCATCAGATGCTGCGTGGTGACTCAAATATTTGTGATTAAACTTTCTTCACATGAATCATATATTAATATTTCCTCAAGAATTCCACTTATTGTTAGATAGCGCAAAAATATTTTTACTGTATACTTATACATATATAATAATTTATTTTATATAATGTATATAAGAAAGGTTATTAATGTAAAATACATTTTTCACACTCATATCCCACTTGAGAATAAATATATTGTGTATAATTAATCTTGAGTTATAATTAAAAACATACATTATATTGATTTTAAAATAAATTTTCACTCAATTTGTTTATAGCTGGCAAATCGATCAAAATTAATGTATTATAGACTTTAAATGAAAGCAATTAGTCTGATGGATGTTGAATGAAGAATTTCATTTCTTTTCAAACTTGAGTTGTGAGTAAATGAAAAAAAACAGTTAACGTAATTTTAATAATCAGAAAACTTGTTTACTTAGATTTATTACTTCTCTTTTTTTTTACTTAAAAACAAGGAGGGAGTCCTTTATGTTTATTTCATAAAAATTTTGCTTCCCGTTTGTGTGAAGCAAAAAATTTGCTTCCTCGTGGAGGAAGTTATGAATTTCTCTAATCAATTGATTGTTTTAAAACATTTCGAGTTAAAAACTGATTTAAATTAATTAAATTTTTTGAAAACTTAAGAAAATTTTAATTCATTTTGGGTGTAACATATACTTTATAAATATACGAATCGATTTATTCAATTATTTTATGTATTAACTTGAATTTAAAAAAAAACACTAAATTTTTTAGCTAAAACATGAATTTTTGATTTTTCAATTTTTATTTTTAAAATTTAAATCAAATATATAAATACCAATCGATTTGTTTTAATGCAGGGAATAAAATTATTTCATATATATATAAACTTGAATTTTAATAAACACAACATTTTTTAGCTAAAATGTAAATTTTTGATTTTTTAACTTTCATTAATTCTTTAAATTTCAATCAAATCTATACTTTATATACCAATTGATTCGTCTTGGTGTAAGGAAGACGATTATATTATATATTACCTTAAATTTTTCTATTTAAAAATTTTTCAATTAAAAAAAATTTTTTGGAAAAAAGACGATAAAATTTTTTTTTTTTTTTGGTATAAATAAATTTTGTTTTTATTTTATAAAAAAAATAAATAAATTTTGTTTTTATTTTAATTTACTTAATTTAATTTTTTTTTTATTTGCGCTAAATAAATTTTTTATTTATTTAAAACAAATAAAAAATTTATTAATAAGAAAAAAACATGTATTTGATTGAAATAAATTTTATTTGTCTCAAATAAACGAAAGTAAATGATTTCTCATATTGTTATTTAAAATTAAAAATAAATAAAAATATGAATTTTTTAATGAAAGAAAATAATGTAAACATGTTTATATTGATAAAAATAATATTTGAGACAAACTTACAAAAATATTATTTTTATTTCAATTTTAAGGCAGATTATATATAGTATCATCTAGTTGTCTGCCTATAAATGGCTTTATCTACTTTGTAACTTTTATACTCATTAATACAAACTGTTGCTATATTTTTTTTTTATTTCATGTTCAAGAAAAATGAAAATGTTCCAATAAATCTAAATTGTTTATTTATATTTTTAAATTTATTTTTTTTTTTAAACAACTTTTTTTATTATTTATTCATACATTTTATTTATTATTTTTTTTTATAAAAAAATAAAGAAAAATAAAAATTGTATTAAAAAAATTTATAATAATGTTATACCTTACCTTTTTAATTTAACAGGCAAATTTATGAAACAATTGATCAATTTTAAAAAGCTTTTATTTGATTACAACTTTAAATAATACATTTTTAAATACTATAATGTTTAAATAAGTGAAAAAAATATTTAATTCGAAAAGTATATATATATATAGGATATGTTCACGTAATTTATAAAATAATTACGTCATTTTGAATTCAAGCAAACCACATTAATAATTTTTTAACAATGTAAAATTTGCAGAGTATATTAATAACAATTTTAATGAGAAATTTTACATGTAAATATATATATTTAGAAACATATTGGAGAAATATAACCATTTCTATATTATATATATAGCATAATAAAATATTTTTGTACAATTTATTAAAAATATTTTTTATATTATGTAGTTATTTACAACAAAACAATTTTTGAAGTAAAAAAAAATGTAGAAATAAATTTTTATCATCAATAAATTATAATTTGGTACTATTTTGTATATTCAATATATTTTATATAATTTTCATAACTTATACATTCAAAAAAGTATATTTTTTTTCAATTTACAGAGGTTTTTTTTCTTTCAATGATAATTTTTAATTATAAAAAAAAATCAATGAAAATTTTTAATTGTAAAAAAAGAAATATTTATGTTTGTTTCAAAAAAAAATTTCATTAAACAAAAGTAATTTATTTGGAACAAATAAAAAACAAAACAAGTGAAAATATTTTGCTGGATTAAAAAAAATTGCGTTGTATCAGAAAAATAATTTTAATTTTAAATATGAATTAATTTTGAATTTTTATAAAAAAAATTAAATTCAGAAAAAAAATTTTCATTTCTTGATATTAAAAAATTTTTTTCTTCTCCATTATAATTTTAACAATTCGGAAAATAATTGTATGTTTCAATTGAATTTTGAAATAATTAATTGTAAAAAAATGAATAAATTTTGTATTTATTCTATTAAATAATTAACTATTCAATTTTCAATTTGAAGAATTTTTTACTATTCATTATAATTTTAACAATTAGAAAAATAAATTTGTTTTTATTGAATTTTTGAAGTTTTTAAATAAAAGATAAATTAATCGTACAGGATGAATAATTATTATTAATTATTCATTTCATAATTATTATAATTATTATTAATTTTGAATTTTTGCAAAAAAATAAGTTTCGAAAAAAATGAAGTTCTTGACACTAAAGAATTTTTTTACTATTCATTATAATTTTAACAATTCGAAAAATAAATTTGTTTCAAAATCGTATAAGATGAATAAATTTTTATTATATTAAATAATTAATTTTGAATTTTAAAAAAAAATTAAATTCAGAAAAAAATTATGTAAAAAAAATCAATTTCTTGATACTAAAAATAATTTTTACTTTCCATTATAATTTTTATAATTTGAAAAATAAATTTCTTTCAATTAAATTTTGAAATTTTGAAGCAAAAGATAAATTAATTTTACAAGTTGAATAATTTGCGCATGCAAAAAAAAAAAAAATTAATCTACCATTCAAATTCTCCTTCACTGACTTTTAAAAATATACGACTTGAAATATTTTCATCTGAAACTTTTGAAGAATAGTATTATTTTTTTTTCGTCACAGCCAGAGGTATACCCGCATATATTGACAAAATATTAAATCAGCTTTTTTTTTTTTTTTTTTGATAAAATCAATAAATTTAACTGCATATTTTTTCCTGTGATGCATCTTCAATGACAATTCCATCGGCATTGATTAATTTAACCCTATCAATGGGTTTTGGTCTCATGAAAATAAATGGCAATTCAGCTGAAACTTCACCTCCCAATGCACCCAAATAGAGTTTCACCTTGACAGCATAAGAAACAACAATGCCAAAAGAATCACGAACATCAGGTGATGTTAGCAATGTACTTGAAGCTAGCTGTGCTTGTCCTTCATTCTTCAATTGTCCATCCAATGCAATTCCCCTACGATGTTTATTTCCCTCTAGATCAGGTTTCAAATAAAGGACTTTTTGCAAATTTGATCCCGGATTAATGGGACATCCATCTTGAGTTTCAACAGCATGAATAACTGTTCGAAATTGTCCATTTTGAAAAATAACAACATCAATTCCCTGTTGTACCAAGGCCTTCATTTTCTTAACAATTTTATTGCTATTATTCTTCACGCTAATATTAACAGCAATACGTTCTCCATAATGATAGAGTTGTTTATCAAGTGTAACTTCAAGTTCCAATTCACCAGGACTAAGGAGAAAGTCCTTTCGAACAACGGTGCAAGGTTGACTTCCCTGTTTTGTTGGTGCAAATTGAATTTTTCTTATTCCAAGTGAAACAGTACTTCTCTTGTGACTAATATCAGAATCGCTTTCACCGGTGAAAATTTTCACATAATAACTAACTCCACATGGTTCTCCAATTTCTTCAGCGTCCGGTTGAAGTGTAACACTCGATGGTGCCGTTTGAGGAAAGCAAAATGTAAATGCAATTGCATTTGGTCCAAGTTTTTTCATTAAACGATCCTGTAATTTTGTTAAATTTGTATCATTTTTCTTCTTCTCAGGATAAAGTGACTCGGAAATAAGATAGAGATCCTTTTGAAAATTTAAACCCATAACTTCGTCCTCCTCTCGTCCATAACGAAAGCTGCATATTAATTGTCCCCATACTCGACGTCCACTATCGATATATTCCTGATCGAGAAGAATTACACCGTCCACTGGTTCGACTCCCGATAAATAATCAATGAAATCTCGTTTGCCTAAATAGAGGGCAATTTTTCCATTGGGTGATGATTTTTTATACACTTTGAAATTAACCACCATTTTTCTTTTTTTAATAACTCGTGTCTTTTTTCAACAGAATCCCTTTGTCGACTGTCCAATGAAATAGGTCGATTGGCTTTATATTCACAAGGTGAGAGTGACGCCAAAACTTTTCTAAGGTTTCTTAATCCATTCAGAAAATAAAAGAAGATAAGAAGATCTATTTCCTTTGCACGCGAAATTCACCTGAATTTGTAGCCGAGGGCTTTATTTAGGTTTCTACCAATATCTACGACGAATAACAAGACACGTCATTTCAATGCGAGGGCTTCGCTATTGTTTCCTTTAATTTTTGTTGACATTTAAAAAAAAGAATCAATTTTTTTTGTTCCTTTTTCCTAATACATGGAAAAATTAAATTGTAAAATTAATTAATAAATTTTCTAGATTAAAAACAAGTTATATATTTTTATAGATATATTACATAAATAATAATTACTAAAAGACAATAAATTACAGAAATTCTTCGTTTTTAGAAAACGATTAAAAATTCTGTAATAATGAAATATTTATATTGTACACATTTTTTTTTTGTTTTTTATACAAAATTAATAAAAGAGCATAAAAACTTAAGAGTTGTATTATTTTACTTCATTTCGATTTTTGACTGCAGCTTCGACAATTTGCGTCAAATCGTGTAAACGCGGTACGTCCGTTTCCAATACTTTAAGTGATTTAATCTAAGGAAAAAAAATATCATATTAGTAAATTAATTGAAAAAATCAATGTCAAAAAATAAAATTATATTAATTTAATAGAGGAGTTCAAGTGAAATTTTTATTCTAAAATTTTTTTTTAATTGAAACAATTTTTTTACAATTCTATATGAAAAATAAGAAATTTTTTTATATTAACTTGAAAGTAATGATTTTTTTCAAAATTAACATTTTTAAAAGAAAAATACATTTGAAACGCAGTTTTAGTTTCATCAGAAATAAATTTTACAATTTCCTGATATTTTTCTGCCAAAAAAAAATAATAATAAAAAACTGATACAATTAATGTGCAAAGTCATTTGTATCTATGAAACTAGAAAAAAGATTTTTTTGACAAATTTTTCTTTGATTCAAAGAAATTATCTTTCATTAAAAAAAATTATCTTCGTTTTAAAAAATTTTTTTTCTTTAATTCAAATTAAAGGTTTTTTTTAACCCTATATATTAATGTTAGAATTTCTTTGATTTAATGCATAAATTAAGAAGCTTTTTTTATTTCAAAGAAAATTTTATTTTTAATGAAAGAAAACAAATAAAAAAAATTGGTTTCTTTAAATGAAAGAAATCTTTTCTCTGGGTGTGTATTCAAATTTGGATTAATAGATTTTTTTGTTCGATAATTGAAGCATTAATAGTTTAAAATTTGGGTAAATTGAATTTTCGATAAATTGAAACTTAAATCAATTAAAATTTAGGCAAATTGAAATTCGGATAATTTGAAATTTAAATAAATTAATTTTTAGATAAATTGAAATTTCGTTAATTTTAAGTTTTGATCGATTAAATCTGCATTTGATTAAAATTTTAATTAATTTATTTTGACCAAGAAGAATTAAAATCGATTGAAAGTTAGAATCAAAATTTAGGTAAATTGAAATTCGAATAATTTGAAACTTAAAATGAATTGTAATTTGAATAATTTTAAAAACATTATTAAGTCAATTAAAATTTGGACAAATTAAAATTCGAATAATTTGAAACTTTAATAAATAAGGCTTTAGATAGATTGAAATTTCGTTAATTTTAAGATTCGATAAATTCAACCTTGGATCAATTGAATTATTTGTAATATTCCTTCAAATTATTTTTTTTTGTGAATTTCCAAATTTGTGAATTTTTTCAATTTATTCTTCATTTACCTTAAATTTTCGATTTTATTTCAATTACTAAAATTTTCGCTTTTTAAAACGATATTTTTATAAAATTCTTCTTTTATTTTTACAATTTCTTCGACTTTTTATTTTTTTTATTTTCCTTTTATTTTTTAAATTCTCGTATTTTTTTCTTTCTCAATTGTTTCTTCAAAATCTTTTTGTTTTCAATTTTTCCCACAAATTCTACTTTAATTTTAAGAATAATTGTTAAATTTTTTTTATTTGTCAAAGTATTTATCATAGTACTTTGCTTTTGAAGAAGATAAGTTAAAAAGATAATCATAAAACTTATCTATAATAAAATAAAAATAATAAAAAAAATATTACAAAATAATAATAATAATAATAATAATAATAATAATAATAATAACAAAATAAAAAAATACTCAGTCAAAGTTGAATTATTTTCTCGATTTTTTGGAAGGATAGAAATTGGAAATAAAAAGTCTCCTTTTTTTCCTTATTTTTTATTTCAAATTTCTATTTTTTTAAAAAATCGAGAAACTAATTAAACTATGAAAGGGAGAGATTTATTTTCAAAAAAAAATTCTTGTTTTCTTATTTTTCATAGAGAAATTAAAGTCTGAATTTTTCGATTAGTATGACTAATAATTGAAAAATATCACAAATTTGTTTTAATGCAAAAGAAAGAAAAATTATTCCAATTAAAAAATAAATTTCTTTTTTGAAATAAAAGTTTTATATGTAATGTCCCAATAATAAAGAAGAAGTGCTTACCAAACTCACGAAGTTAGATACGTCTATAGAGAGTTGAATGCGAATTTTTTCATCATCACTCACACCCTGATTTTCAGACGAGGATACTCCTGCTGATTTATCTCGAATTTTTTTTAACTTTCTCAAACTTTCCTCAGTTTTTTGTACCGAGGTTAATACGTCTGTTACTGAGGAAATATACCTAGAAAAAAAGAACAGTTTCTAAATATATAGATAAAACACAAAATTACAGTCACGTTAAACAACAATTAATAAATTATTAACATAAAAAATTACGATCAATATTAAACAAAAATAACATTTTTAAAAATGTCTATGTTTTTAATATATAAATTTAAAAAAGTTTAATATTTCTATTTTTTTAAATTTAATTATAAATTTTTCTAAAATGGTTTTATTGTAAATTATGGGGCGCATCAATTTCTCATGAAAATCATTAATTAGAATTTTTATTTAAATTATTTTTTTTAAAATAATTAATTTTTTGGACGAGTTTTCAATTTTCGAATTAAAATTTTTAGCTACCGAATTTTTTTTCGGCAGAATTTTTAGTTGTAGTTATTTTTTTTTGCATGACTTTTTATTTAAAATTATTTTAATTTATTAAAATTCTCATTCAGTAGAATTTTAAGTAATTCGAATTTTTAAATCCTAGAACTTGGAATCGGAAGCTTATATAAAATATTTAGTATTTTAAAATAACAATTTTAATTAAAAAATCTCCAAAAATTCAATTATTTCTAAAAATCTTAACTCGAACTCTTCCAAAAATTCAATTATTTTTAAAATTTGTAACTAAAATTCTTTGCTAAATTAATAATTTCAATTAATTTTATCCAATTATTCAAAAATTCAATTAAATAAAACATTTTTTTATTAAAAATTCTCTAAAATTCAATTAATGTTTGAAACTATGTTAATGATATTCAGCAATTCTAATTTACAAAAATTTTAATTCAAAATCTCCTGAAATTCAATTATTATTAAAAATTTCGATTCAAATTTTTTTGTTGCAATAATTATTACTAATAACTTTAATCAAGATCTTGGCATTTAAATTATTTAAAACATTTTTCAATTCAAAATACTCTAAAATTCAATTATTGTCTGAATTTCGGTTAAATTAGAATTATTAAAAACAAGAAAACGGTTAGGTAAAGAGAAATTTTGGAAAATAAAAATTGTGTCAAAAAAAAATGACAAATTGAAAATTCTATTAAGTAAAAGGTAATTTAAAAAGAAATTATGTTAAATGTTATTTTGAAAAATGAAAATTTGTGTAAAAAATAATTATATAAAGCAATAGTTGACGCGACCAATAATAAATCATCAACTTGGCGAGCTTTTAGGAATCAAAAAATTCGCTAAAATTTAAAATTCTCGATTTCTGTCATTTTTTAAATTATTTTTTGAAAAAAGTAGCATTTAGTGGCTTTTGGTCAAAACTAGTAGTAAAAAAGTATCGAAAAATTAAAAAAGTGTGTCACTTCGAAGCCTGTTACTGACTGAAATTTAATAAAATATTTTGAAATTTAATTATTTCTAACTTCAATTATAACTTTTCCAAAGTTCAATTATTTTTAATAATTTTAGTTCTTTAAAAACTCAATTATTTAAAAAAGTTTCAAATAAAAAATTCTACAATTGAATTATTATTAGAATTTGTTTTTAGAAATTTGTCCTACTTAATTAAAATTAAGGAATTAATATATAATAAAATTAGTTATTTAAAGTAAAATACTTATTAACTAATTAAATTTAATTAAAATAAAAAAATCGACTTTTTTCGACTTTTTTTCGAATCACATAAAATTCGATTGAATGAAAATTCTGTTTAATTAAAATTCGACTAAATTATAATTCTCTTTAAAAAAAAGCCATGTAAATTAAATGACGATAAAATAAAAATTTGGTAGCTAAAAATCTTGGTAATTAAAAATTCGTCTAAAAAATAATTATTTCTAATAAAATTCTTTAAAATGAAAATTCTAATTACGAATTTTTTTTTTTGATAATAATGCGCCCAGTAATTCTTCAATATTGATTGCGTAATTTCTAACTTCGTCGAAAAATTGATGTAGAAATAATGAATAAAAGATTTTTAATACTGTTCTGTTAAAGATGAAAGTGTTTGAAGTAACCAAAGATTAATCTCCTGTGGAATAATTGGAAAATAATCAGCATAAAATGCAGAAAGAAAACTCAGTGCATTTTTCACATAGGCACATGGTTTTGTGGGAATTTCACGATTGGTACGTCTAAATAATCGAGGAATATCACTAATTTGCTTTAAATGAAATGCACTTTGTGATAAAAGTTCTTTTACAATTTCCTCAGTTATAAGTGGTAATGTTTCGGACAAATTTTTATTTGTCTCACCAAGGCAGTCTGCAAATGAAAATCAATAAAAAAATTAATTGAAATGTTGAAAGGAAATTTTTTTTTCCTTTTTTTTTTTAATGGAAAATTTACCTTCTAATAATTTATAAGATTTTTCATCTAAATTCTTTACTTTTTGTTTTGCCATTTCCAAAATAGTTGGCAATAATTTTATAAAATTACCCACATCAGTGTATAAACAAACGAGAAATTCCAGTCTTGTTGGATTTTCAGTTTCTGTTACAGTTGTAATTTCATTTACTGTTATTATTTGCCATTTCTGAAAATTTATTGTCACAACGAATTTAAATATATTTAAATTTGTGAATTCAATGTGAGATTTTCATTCAAAATTTCTGGAAAATTTATGTTTTCGAAGTTTTTTTGTCGCATTTTTTCATTTAATTGGGATTTAGTCTCAATTTTTAAAATGTAATATAAATAAAATTCTAAATATATTTTTTATCTGTTAATAGGACAAAGACGACGTTAAAAAAATCAAAAATTCCAGAATTTTTATCAAACATAAAAGAATTACTTATTTTCTTATTTTTTACAAAGATTTTGAAAAAAAATTTCGAGTAAAATTCTCACATGAAATGCCCCATATAAATTAAGTTTTTTTTTAATTATCACAAATAGATTATTAATAATAAACAAATTTACTTGATTTAAAGTTCCTTTACACCATTCATTGTATCGCGAACAAATTTGCAGATTTAATTTCCAAAATCTAAATCAATTTAATTAATTATTAATTAATTTAATTAAATTAATATTGATAAATAATTTGATAAAAAATTACCTATGAAGAAGTTGAGAAAGAAATACATGATCGGCCCAAGTTCTTAAAATGCAATCCCAAACTGCGCAAGTTGAATAAAGAGAAAAACTATCGCGATCAATTTCATTTTTTCTCTTTTTAATAGATGAATGAGATATATTTAAATAAAGTACACTCTCAACAGAACCTGCTATTTCTTGAAATCGTATTTGATAATATACGGGTAAATTCCATTTTTTTAAAAAACGTTTATATTGAATATGATTTTTCAAAGTATTTACAACTTCCAACGAGTCACATCTTTTTTCTATTCTAGAAAGAAAATCTAACGTCTCAGTATATCGCTAAAATTTTAAAACAATATATATATTAGTTAAAAAAAAGGAATATTAACATTTTAAAATTAACATTAAACAATTTAAATTTATTAATTACTTGATGAAAAAGTTGCGGATTTCCTGGTGCAAAAATACATGATAAATATTGTTCAATTCTCTCTTCAATTTCCGTCCAAAAACTATTGACTAAAAAATTAAATCCCTTAACTGACGTTCTAAAAGTAAATGCAAAAAATGTCAATTTATGTTAATTTAAAAAAAATGTCAAAAATTAGTTTACATAATTAATTACCTTTCTGGATATAAAGTAATGTCCAAAAGTTGTTTAAAATCATCATCCAAAATTGTTTCTAATTTAAGATAAATCCCTTGAAGACCAAGTGGTTCACTTTGTAAATTTGCCTCATTTATAATTCTCTCGATTTTTGGTTTAACTAATTGTTTTCTAATAACATCTTCAGCCTCAAATATTTTATCTAAAGTCACATAAATTCTTAAACAACGCGTTAAAAAGGTAGAATCTTTTTCTTGAACGTATTTTAAAAATATATTATTTAAATGTCTTGTTAATAGTTTATCAAGTTCTTCACTTTTCTGAAAAATTGCAAATTTTTCAATTAATTGAATCTATAATTTTTAATATTATTTTTGTATTTATTAAAGAAAAAAAAAAGTTTACTTCATTTTGAATAACAGTAAAATCAGCACTACAACGTGATGTATGAAATTTTAATTGGTTAAATTCTGTAGCGGCTCTTTCTAAAATGTCAGGTTTAATAGAATGTTCTGATGTATTTCCAACGGAGAGAATAGAACTTAATTTTGAAATAGATTTGTGTATTCGTATCAGACTGTGTAAACTTTGTTTGCGTCCTCTAATGTTACGATGCTCGTCTAAATTGGACGTTACTTCTGTGATGGCATCTTCTAAATATTGACGTACTTGCTGTAAATGATAATTTAATTATAAATATGTAATTTAATGACGCGCATGATTATCCTATAAAAATCATAATTTTGAATTTTCAATTTAAAGAATTTTATTAGATATCATTACAGACTTTCGATCGATTTTAAAGTGCAAAAAAGTCGTTTTAGTCGATTTACATTCCAAAAAAAGTCGAAATAGTCGATTATTTTATTTTAATTAAATTTAATTAGTTAATAAGTATTTTACATTAAATAACTTATTTTAATTAGATATTAAATTCATTTTATTAATTCCTCAATTTTAATTAAGTAGGACAAATTTCTAAAAACAAATTCTAATAATAATTCAATTGTAGAATTTTTTATTTGAAACTTTTTTAAATAATTGAGTTTTTAAAGAACTAAAATTATTAAAAATAATTGAACTTTGGAAAAGTTATAATTGAAATTAGAAATAATTAAATTTCAAAATATTTTATTAAATTTCAGTCAGTAACAGGCTTCGAAGTGACACACTTTTTTAATTTTTCGATACTTTTTTACTACTAGTTTTGACCAAAAGCCACTAAATGCTACTTTTTTCAAAAAATAATTTAAAAAATGACAGAAATCGAGAATTTTAAATTTTAGCGAATTTTTTGATTCCTAAAAGCTCGCCAAGTTGATGATTTATTATTGGTCGCGTCAACTATTGCTTTATATAATTATTTTTTACACAAATTTTCATTTTTCAAAATAACATTTAACATAATTTCTTTTTAAATGACCTTTTACTTAATAGAATTTTTAATTTGTCAATTTTTTTTACACAATTTTTATTTTCCAAAATTTCTCTTTACCTAACCGTTTTCTTTTTTTTAATAATTCTAATTTAACCGAAATTCAGACAATAATTGAATTTTAGAGTATTTTGAATTGAAAAATGTTTTAAATAATTTAAATGCCAAGATCTTGATTAAAGTTATTAGTAATAATTATTTCAACAAAAAAATTTGAATCGAAATTTTTAATAATAATTGAATTTCAGGAGATTTTGAATTAAAATTTTTGTAAATTAGAATTGATGAATATCATTAACAAAGTTTCAAACATTAATTGAATTTTAGAGAATTTTTAATAAAAAAATGTTTTATTTAATTGAATTTTTGAATAATTGGATAAAATTTATTGAAATTATTAATTTATCAAAGAATTTTAGATACAAATTTTAAAAATAATTGAATTTTTAAAAGAGTTCGATTTAAGATTTTTAGAAATATTTGAATTTTTGGAGATTTTTTAATTAAAATTGTTATTTTAAAATACTAAATATTTTATATAAGCTTCCGATTCTAAGTTCTAGGATTTAAAAATTCGAATTACTTAAAATTCTACTGAATGAGAATTTTAATAAATTAAAAATAGATTAAATTAGAATTATTTTCAAAAACCAGTTGGGTAATGAGAAATTTTGTATAAAATAAAAATTCGGTACTTTGAAAATTCCGTTGAGTAAACATTCGCTCCTACCGTTGTACCCAAAACAAAAAGTTAACCAAAAATTAAAAAAAGATAGTTTTTTTTTTAAATAATCATGAGAAAAATAATGTTAATTTTATTCATCAGAATTTTTCTTTCAATTTTTTTTAGACAAGAAAATCTTTACATTTTAACGTCAAACTTAGAAAACTAATTTTACTTCATTTTAAAGATGCCACTTTTTTGATATTTTTTTTCAATTTTGGGGATATTTTTTTCTAAAAAAATGATACTCTTTCATACTTTTCTTAGTCTCTTCGAGCAATAATTAAATTTTACAGAATTGAAAATAATTTATCAAATAATTGTAGATAACATTTTTTAAAAGTAATTAAATTTTCAAAGATTTAGATTTTTGAAATTAATGGAACTTCAATGAATTTTTAATTGAAATTTTTTGGTGATTTCTGTTGAATTTTTAAAGAATATTATAAAAAACATAAAAAATAATTGAATTTCGGAAATTAATAGTTGAAATCATTAAATTTCAGAAAGTTTTAGATGGAAAATTTTAAAAGGTTTTATACTGAAATGTTTGGTAATTTTATTTGCTGATTATTTTTTAAATTGTAAACAATTGTTAAATTCAAATTTCATAAAATTTTTAATTGAAAAATAGTTTAAGATAATTGAATTTGTAAAGAATTTCATTAAAATTATTAAAAATAATTAATTTAGAGAAAAATTATAGTTAAATATTTGTTAAATAATTGAAATAAAGAAGTTTTTAAGAAGATCTTCATTGTGTACTAAAAAAGGCGTATTTTATTTAAAAATTTTGTAAAAAAAAAGTCAAAAAAGTCGCATCTTATTAACCCCTTCACTGTTAGAGAAAAAATTGATACTGTGGTGTCCCAAAATATCCAACAAATTCTGATCGATAAATTTTTATGAAATTTAGTATTATGACAAATGAAGATTCAGTGAATTGGAATTTTTGACATTTAAAAAAAAAAATCAAAAAAGTTTGATGAAAAAAATTCTGTAAAATAAAAATTTTTCCAAATAAAAATTCACTAAGTATCTAAAACTTCTGTTAAGTAAAAATTCGTTCAAAAAGAAATTTTGTTAAATTTGAAAAAAAAAAAAATTCTTTTAATAAATAATAATATCTAATAAGACACTTTAAAATAAAAATTAATGAATTAATTAATGATTTGATTTTATGGTATAATCATGCGCTTTAATTTAATTTGTGAAATATAAGAAATAAAAAATTAAAATTAACTACCATAACTTCCTCACGAAGTTGACCAAGAGGACTTTCAAGATTTTCAATCGCTTTATCTAATCCAATTAAATTACTTGAAAGATTAACAAAATCTGCATAATCTTTATTTATCAATTCAATCATTGCCGATCGTAAAATTTTCAGGTAAATTCCAAGATCGTCTCTCATTTTTTCGAGGCTGACATTTTTTTTATGCTCTTGAAGAAAATTATCCACATCAAATACTTTCTGGAAAAATAATATGTAAATTAAGAATTTTTTTTCTCCTTGATAAATGTTGAAAATTATGTTTTCAAATTTTTTTTTGTTAAAAAATGGATGAAATTAAAATAAAAACTCTCTTTTTTTTCCTTATTTTTTTTTTTATAATTTTCAATATTTGTCAATTAAAATACATATTTTTTTAAAAATGAATTTTCGTCTCAAAAATATTTCTTACAATGTTTATTGATCAAAAAATTATAAAAAATATAATTTTTTAGATAAATAATTTTATAATTTTCAGTTTTAAAAAATTGTTTTCTAATTTTCGATCATAAATCATTGATAAATAATATAAATTCTTTTGCATTTAAGTATGATTTTTTGAAATCTTCTTTAAATAATAATAGCATTTTAGAGAATTTCTATTGAGATTAATGTAAATTCAATAGAATTTTATTTTCATATTTGACGTCTTTCACTAATTTTTGAAATACGAAAATAGCATATTATTTAAATTTTTATTTCTCTAAAGTGGGGTTTCAAAGAATGTTAATTTAATCGAATCTGCAAATAGCATAATTTCGACCTATCAAAATTATGCCAATTCAATTATTCAGATTCAATTAAATCAACATTCTTTGAAACTCCACTTTAGAGAAATAAAAATAAAGCTATTTTCGTATTTCAAAAATTAATGAAAGCCGTCATAATTATATGAAGAAAAAAATTCTTTTACATTATTATTAGACATAATTAAAATTATGACAAAGGTTTTATTTTATTTAAAGAATATTGCATCAATTTAGAATTGAATTCAAAAGAATTTATAATTATTATTTATTAATTCCGTTTCATAATTTCGAAAAAATAAATTAAAAAGAAAAGAATTATATCAAAAAATATAATTTGGGCAATATAAATTTTTTGTCATTCAATATTTATAATTCTTATAAATTATAATTATAATTTATCGATAATTACTAAAAAAAAATGTCATTTTAGATAAATAATTTATAATAATTGTTGTTTTGAATAAAATAAATATTTGTCGTATTGTAAATTAAGCGGGAATTAATTATAAATTTTTACGGCACTTCGTGAAAATGAAAACAATTCACTTTAAAAATACATGAATATATACTTGCCTGAATAAAATTCTCTTCACTAAAACAAGAATCTTTTGGAGCCGTGGGAGGAGTGAAAATTTCGTCAGACATGATAAATTTTTATATTTAATAACAAAATTTTTTTAACAAATGAAAATTCTGAATCAACGATTCACGTATAAATCATAAAATTGATATTAGGATTTCATTTTTTGTATTTTAACACAATATCATATTTATTTCCTTCAATGTTGAAAATTTAAACAAATATTCATTAACCGGTTTCATTATTTTTTTACTGTCAAATGAAAAATATTGAAAATTAATGTAAACTGACACGAAAAATAGTAATATTAGATAAACAAATGTTAATATATTGTGAAAAAAATTATTTTACTGCAAATAATATTTATAATGTTTTATGAAAAAAACAAATTGTGGTTTATTATTTATAAATATAGTAAATAAACATATAAATTCTTAAAAATTAGACTGAAATAAATTTGAGGTTATATTTACACGTCATTGACTGTCACCAATGGCACTTTTTATCATTATCAAAAAGAAATTGAGGAAAAGACAGGCAGCGCTGTTGTAGCGAATACTTGTACTTTATCAATCGATTGAATTTTGCCACGTAAATTTAAATGCCAGATGATTATACTTTAATTTTTTTTTTTTTTAATATCTTTAAAACCATTTCACTTGATTAAATATGTTTTCTGTATTTTTATTCTAATATTGTATTTGAAATTAAAAAAAAATTTTACCTACTTTTAAAAACTTTTTAAATTTTTCATAAAAATATGATAATAATATTATTTCAGTTAGGTTGACCTTTAAAAATGTGACAAACTCATTTCCACTCACTTATCTCCATTAAAATATTATAAATATTATCAAGAACCATCATGTTCTTGATAATTAATAATTTATTTATAAATAAGGATAATTAAAAAATATTAATGAGGAAAACACCTTTAAAAATGTGACAAACTCATTTCCACTCACTTATCTCCATTAAAATATTATAAATATTATCAAGAACAATCATGTTCTTGATAATTAATAATTTATTTATAAATAAGGATAATTAAAAAATATTAATGAGGAAACCCTCTTGATAATATGTCTGAAGAGGCCTACCGTTGGCAGGCGAAAGCTAATAAAGCAAATTATGATAATAAATGGATTTTTAAATAAACAAACCAAACAACTCACTACTAATATTATTTCAGTTTGAAAATTGGGGATCGGTGAAATTTCTTAAAACTTCGTGATTTTGTAGATTTTGACATGTTAAACAAAAAATATTAATGGCAAAATTAAAAAAAAATGAACAGATTTTTTTATTAATTAAGTTCTAGGTTTTTAAAAAAAAACAGTGTTAAAAGCGAAAAAACTATTTTTTTAAACTTAAATATTACCAAAAAATCTGTTTATTTTTTTTAATTTTGACATTAACATTTTTTTTTGTTCACAGGAAGTCAAAAGGTACAAAATTACGAAGTTAAGGCATTTAACGTGTAATGTCCTAAGTTAAAAAATTGATTTCTCGAAAAAAAGTGAAACTTGGGGAAATTGATGTCCTAGCTGATAGTAAAATATCCCCAAAAAAATTGTTGACTTTTTTTGAAATTTTTGGTGAGATAGAGGGGGGTCAATTTTGGGGTTCATGATTATGCCATAATAATTATTAGTGAGAATTTTCATTTTCAACAATTTCATTATATATAATTATTTTTTACACGAATTTTCATTTTTCAAATTAACATTTGTCAGAATTTCTTTTTTAAAGAATTTTTAATTAACAGAATTCTTAGGCACCGAAATTTTATTTGGCAGAATTCTTAAAACGACGAATTTTAATTTGTCCGAAATTGCAAATATGGCCAAACAATCGACAGAAAGATTTCGGCGCGATTTTTAAAATCAACCAATCACAATTTTATGGATAATTTTTGATTGGTTGATTTTTAAAATTTTTGAAGTCTTCATTTCTTTATTTCTGTTATTTATTAACTGTTTATAAACATGTCAATTAAAACCAATATTTGAAAAGAAAAACTAACCATGGCTATCTTCTTTTTAATTTACGTTAAACGTTCCTTTGTTTTATAAATTCTAAAAAATAATTCTACACAGTACTCAGAGCTGTGAGAACAGCAGTCACAACTTCGAGCAAAGAATTTATTGCTACATTTGTAGTTCTGAATAATCTGTTGTCAACTAATATGAAACGAACCTCTGTATCACCTTATAGCATCCAGCTCCTCAATTTATAATTGAATTTGAATATTTTAAAAAATAATTTTTATAATGAAATGATTAAAATTTTTTTTTAAATTAATCTTTCAGTAAAATATGACTGAATTCGTTAAAATTATTTTACTAACATTTTTTATTGTCTTTTAATTTTATGATTCAAACTTTTTAATATTTGTTTTGAAATAAAAAATAGAAATGATGCGACTCACTCTATTTTTTGCATAAAAAAAATAATAATTTATTCTGCGCTTTGTTAATTATTGTTGCAGATAAATAATACAAATGCAATGATACTATTATACACTCTTATACTATTATATTATTATTATACAATTAAATTACTATAATTTTTATTATATTCATGATTTGCTCTGCCTTTTTAATAATTTAACAAATATTTATATAGCTACAAAAATGAAAATTATTCATTTTCACGATGAAGGAGAAAAAAAAATCGATTTACGATAAAAGATCTGAATTAGCTGATAAAACATTTATTTTATATATATAATTATATTTTACAGACTTTCGATGACTTATTTTTTCCGTTTTTTTTTAAATCAAAACTAAGCAATATGATTTTTTAATATCAGAGTGAAGAAGATAACAATACAGAAACTAACGTTTATTATTTTATTTTCTTGACAAAGATGTCACGAATTTTTTTAATGTTCGTTTACAGAAAATATCATTAAGAAAATAAAATAAATTGTAAGTAAATATTATAGATTCCATATTTGACTTAAAAATAATTAAATTCACTGAAAATTTTTTTTTATGTTAGTAAAATAATTTTAAAGAATTCAACCATATTTTACTGGAAGATTTTTAATTAATTTAAAAAAAATAATGAAAAATTAATCACTTCATAGTAAAAATTATTTTTAAAAATATTCAAATTAAATAACCAACTTCTCGTCACTGACAACCTAATACAAAGAAACAAATTATTTTGAAAAGGAAAAAAAATTTTTTTTAAATTTTTATTCAAGAAAAAAGATCGAGAATATTTTAATTGGTTCACGATAGACGAATTTCTTATTGCGTCGAATTTAATACAATTCAAATGCCATTTAATTTTTTGTTTTAAATAATTTGATGCTATAGGTTTTGAATAATTCAAATAAGATACCAAAGATGGGTATTTACTTTTCATTTCAAGAAATAATATAACATGTCATTAATTTTTACTTTATAAAGAGGTCGAATCTATAATGAAAAACGATCATGTTATGTACGAAAATTGTGATATATCTTATGTTGAAATAGTTATTATAAAATACTTGAAAACAGTTAAAAATCCAAACGGTGATATCACTCAAAACTTTAATTTTTTACCATTTTCCAAGTATTTTATAATAATTAATTCAAATATATATTAAAATTTGCTCATATTATAAATCCATTTCTCACATGGAAATTTATTAATTTTTTTTTTGTATATCAAAATCATATTAATTACACTGAAAAAAAACTAGTAGGTTTTACTACTTTTTAACTACTCTGAGTAGTACAATAGGTCCTCAACTGAATTTAAACGGTTGAATTAACTATATAAAAATAGTTAAACCAATTAAAAATGTAATTGGTAGAATTACATTTTGTGATTGTATTAACTCAATTTAAAAATGTTAAAACATCTCAAGATGAAAGTAGTAGATTTTACTACTTAAAGTAGTTCAATAGGCTTTAAGAACATTTTTTTGTAGAATTAATAAATCTTTTGCAATTAAAACTACTACTTTAAGTAGTAGATTTTACTACTTAAAATATGAAAATAAAGTTATTTTTTATTTATAATTGTTTATTATCAGTAGAATTGACTTTTTCATCCTCTCTCCTATACTGACGCTTATTTTAAGCTCTAACGATTATGTACCGAACAGAGAAAATTTCTAACCGACAAGAATTGAACCCTCGACCCTAACGCTCGCAATTCGATACCTTAACTTAAAGCCTTAACTTAACAAGAGTAATAACCCCTGATCCTAATACGACATCCCCAATTTTGTCTATGAAAACGCCAGAGCTGCGATCAATTATATAAGAAACAATTTTAATTGCAAGACCACGGGATGTATCTTTTATAACGTGAATCATGTACTCAGAGATATTTGCAACTAACTTTCTTCTATCAAGGGGATGAACAGCTTGTTTATTATTTATGCTATTTATTAAACCTGGTGGACACAAATTCATTATCTCATCTCCTAAAACAATTGTTTGTTTATCACTTTTATCCTTCCCATGAACATTTTCAAGATTACTGAAATCTGGAATTTAAAAAATAATATTAGAATTACAAATCCTAATAATAATAATAAAATAATAATAAAGCATTATGCTTTAGTTTCATACAAATTTCAAAAAAAGTAGACAATTTTAAAAGATAATTAAAATAATACTTTGTTACATATTTTAATAATAATGAATATACCTCCAATAAATTGTAAGTCAATAACAGGAATTGAAGTTTCCTTAAAATAAGTGCCATTGTTGTTATTACTCTCATTAAGTGGAATTACAAGTAAACTTAATGGTTGTTTTGACATCTGAGAAAGTTCTAGCAATATGTCATCATCTTCTATTTCGATACCTTCGAGCTCACTAATAACCTATAAAAATAATTTTTTACATATTAAACAAAAATAAACATTTTAAGTAACATTTATGCTATATTTTTCTTATATATATGGCATATTAATACACAGAAATACCATCATACCTTATAATTACCATCAGGAAGGTCCAATTTTTTTTGTGACTCTTGAAGAACATCTACAATTGTTAAACCTCTGATAAATTTTTGGACACTTTTGGTAGAATCAGAAACCTTGAAAATCGGCATATTGCTTCTGCAAAAAATACATACTAGTTATATCGATTTTGAAAAAAAACATGAATGTCTTAATATTTCGAGAAAATAAGTTCCCTTTTATAAATATTAACAATGCTATTTTTAATATTGTAAAGTATAGTAGTTATACTATTTTATTTAATGTAACTACAATTTCCTGTATCATACCTTACGACTTCATCAGCAAATAGTTATAAGTTGTTATGTACATATCGGTACTTAGGTTTGACAAATAATTTGTTTCCAGTATTATAAATGTGCAAAGGTTCATATGCTATTAGTTCATTTAAAGAACAACATTCGTATCCTTTTACTATTCCAACTTCATAAGCACGAAGTTCAGGGCAAAATGTATTTTCTACTATTTCCATAAGAACGTAAATTTTTTACTTCCGTCATGTAGAAAAATACAAATTTTACCTAGTACAGTATCATGTTGATAAGCAGATTGATTTATCAGTAAAATATTTCCTTTCTCATAGTCTGTTCCTTTTATAGTTACAGAGTTACATTCTTGAAGAAAATCTTGAGTAAGGTTTGCCCTTCTCAATGCTGCTTGCAAATTTTCTGCATAGATATGTATTTCAAAAGGATAACTATTGTTTAATAAAACATCAAATCTAATGTCGCTCCCCAACCTAAGGAAACTTTGAAATAGTTCATGTTTTTCAGACAGTGATTTGGTAATATTTATAAAATTATGAAGAAATCGTATGCTTCGTTTAAAAAAAGTGTACTTACTTTCGAAACGCATAGACCATACCTTTATTAAAGGTCCAAATTTCAAAATTAGTTCAGGATAGTGCCAAAGGAAATGATGTTTTGGTCTTAATTTTACATTAGGAAAATGTTTTGCTCTAAGACACAAATATTCGTCAATGCTTTGTTGCAAATAACCTAAGTAGGATTTATGAATAGCAGGTGCGCAAACTATTTCTGTTATTTCCATGAGTAAAATAATTAATTTCCAAACCGGATTGTCTAATTTTTTAATTTTGTTTTCAATAAATAATGGCAAAAGCCTGAGAAACTGAAATATTTGAAAAGCATGAACAGAAATTATTTTTTTCTTTTCTGAAAATTTGCATGGTTTATCTCTCATGTCTGACTTTGAATACGGAAATAACTCTATCCAAGTGTTTAATTCAGAAACTGTAAACCATTTCTTTTTAATAAGACGCAATAGGAATAAATGAAGATCATAAGCAATGACACCTTCGAAAAGATCGTGACCAAGACATGGAGCAAGTCCAGGATTGCAAACGTGATATGTTTTTAAATTATTAAATACTGAATTAAATTTTACACCTTTATATTCTGTCAAATTGTTACTTCTAATAACTTCTAAAGCAGTTTTATAAGATTCTACAGTTCGTGTTTCATACTTTAAAAACATAGTATCCATTTTATAAAAATTTTCTCTCTCAATTAAGCAAAATCTGCAAAAATATTTTGTTGTGCCGAATCCTTCATTGAAACCGCCTATAGAAGCATGGCCTAAATTATCTCCAGCGATATATATAAGAAATCCCTTAACTATTTTGCCAGGACTAATTTCAACTCCCTCTGACTCTATAACTTTCAAATCTTCAACAATTTTTCCATAAACTTTATTATGAATAATATCTTTTTCTTTAACCAAGGCAACTAGTTTAATTGTATTAATGTGAGATCTAACATGATCGGGTAAATTACCAATGCTAAGATAAACGCCAACAAGTTTGTGCATGTTTTTTGCAGAACCAAGTGGATTAACTGTTTGAAAAGCATCCTGATATAATATTAATTTTAAATTATTTGCATCTTTAAGGAATTCATTCTGTGAAAAAATAATTCCGTCTGTAAAGTCAGTTAGTAAGTCGGAATCGGAAGATTTGCAAGAAGCTGAAAGCTCGTTCTCTATTGATTTATCTCGAAATATTCTTTTTATGGTTTCTTTTATTGGTACATAATGAAAAATTCTTTGTTTCGATTTATCTTCTAAATTAATCACTACTTGCTGTGGCTCAACGTATTCAAATTTTTCTTTGTAAAATTTTTTTCTAAAATAATCAGTTTTTAAAACATCATTTCCCTTTTTAAACAGATCATTTTCAAAAACCTCATTTATAATTTTCTCAACATTTTCCTCTGTCTTAAGTTCTTCATTTAAACGAGCCTTTAAATTTCGTCTCAAAACTTCTTGACATTCATTATGATTGCTATAAATTTCTGAAATTAAATATTGCAGTGTGGTAGTGGGAATCATAAATTGACATTCTAATTTTAAATAAAGCTGAGCAAGGTTTGAAATAAATAAATCTGTTTGATCAGGTTGGGAAATTGTATGACTAAAATCTTCATTTGTATTACCCGAAACTGTTGAGTCATGAATCTCAGTGTATGACAAGGTGTTTTGTGTTTCATGTAAGTTTTCGTCCAAGTTATAGGTCTTTTGTCAATAGAATAATCGTTTACAATTCTTTCTAACAAATTCCTATTTCTGTGTATTCTTGATACATGACTGGTAAACGATTGTACATTATCATATGCCTTTGTGCAATTTTTATAAGGGCAAGCAGCTTTAACATTTCTACGCATATGATCTTTAAGATGTTGTAACAAAACAAAAAGATTATCCATTTCCTTCTTACAAGTCTCAACGTTACAAATATATTTTCCTTCGTCATTAAATGCACGACTATTATTTTGATACTGTACTTTTGGCTTTTTGATTGTTTTATGTATTCTCATCAAATGTGTTCTTAAAAGCACTTCGGATTGAAAAATTTCTTTACATCCATTAAAGTCACAATGAAATTTTTTGAAAACATTTCTATGAAACTTGTGATGTATTAAATGTGTTCTTAAAACTGATGTTTTCTCATAAAAATCGTTAGCTAGAATTTTCATGTGTATGAATTTCAGTTGACAGAATTTATTTTTAGACGAATTTTCATTTTTCGAATTAGCATTTGAATTTCTTTCTTTGTAAACGAAATTTTATTTAACTTAATTTTTAGGTGGCGAATTTTTATTTAAATTATTTTTTTAACAAATTTTTTGTTAACCAACTTTCTATTTTAAACAATTATAATTTAAAATACACGGAGAAAAATGGTGCTGAGATTCTAGTAAAAATTCCAATGGAATAGTAATAATTATACTTTTCTAGTAAAAATTACTATTAATTGTAAAATTTACTTCGCATGAGTAAATATTATTATACTTCTGGTAGTAAAAATTACTAAAAGTAATTATTACAGTAGGTAGTCACTTTTAAAAATTGCTACAGATGAAATGGAAATTGCTTTAGGATTTTTAAATTTTATAACGTCATAGTAAACTTTATTAAATTCTGTATTACTTTTTACATTTGACACTTTTTTAGTATTACTCGTAAAAATTCTAATAAGTAATACTGCGAAATATAAAAATTGCTACTGCAAGAAACAACTTTTACTATTGCAGATGAAACTTTTTACTTGAAAAATAGTACAAACAAACATCAGAAAGATTTGGGCGCAGTTTTTAAATAATGTATTTTTCTCAAGATGTCTTGGATTATTGGAGGATTGCTTTTGCATAATGCTTCTTATTCAATTGTTGGCTCATAGTATCCTTTTTTGTCTTCAGGGTTATAGATTGATACAAGTAAGAAACTACATTTTGAAAAAAAATTGTAAAAATAACATTACAATCATCTACAAAATATATTTTATCTGCAAAAAAACGTTTTAGTTTCTAACATTACAACAAACAAAATCACTTTTTATGGAAGAAATGTTTGTTGTTGAATATCTCATTTATGTTTTATCTATTTCATACATCTACTGTTATGTATCAGAGGCACTTGAAAATGAGGTAATGATTTATTAGAAATAAATATAAAATTGAATTTTTATTAAAAAATTTTTAAAATAAAAAATTTTATTCATAATTTAGTTTAAAATCATTGAATTAAAAAAGTTATATATAAACTATGAACATGTTTATATTGTATAAATATAATATTCTATATATCTATTAATTATATCCAGAGCATTACACTTGGACAGTCTGTGTATAATTGCAAATGGTTTTATTTACCACCAAAAAAAATGAGAAATTTAATGATTATTATTCAACGTTGCCGAAAACCTGCACAATTAACAGCGGCAAAATTTTGTGTTATGAACATGCAAAAATTTGGAAACGTAAAGAAAAATAAATTATTTTTTGAATTTACAAATTTTAAAAACATCAATTGAATACTATTATACTGACAATTATTTGTATTTACTTTTGAATACCATGAGACAGTAAACTTCATTTATTTTCAGATTTTAAAAACATCAATGGGATACTTGTCGCTATTGCTAACAGTTAAAAGTAACCAAATGCATTTATAGTATGAAATTGTAACATAAAAAGTAATAACAATATATTGTTTAAATTATTTGTATATTTTTATTTATACGAGCATAAATGTTCAAAATAACACTGTCCCTTAATTGTTTAGTAATATTTTTTTGGATTCTCATAAATAAATTTAGTTAAAAAGAATTTATAAAAAAACATTTAAAATTCAAAGAAATTTAAAAAGTTGAAAATTAATATTAGTAAACAGAATTTTTAGACAATTTAAATTTACAAAAAATACTAATAAAGCAGTAATAGTTGTAAAACAATAACCTTTTTAATGTCGAGAATTTCCAATTCACTGAATCGTAATTTGACGAATTTTTATTTCCTAGAATTCTTTCTGTCGATAGTTTGTTGATCATGAGAAAACGCGTTTACATCCTAATAAAATAACACGTTTACTCCCTGCTGTACAAGCTTTTACAGGCGCAGTTATAATCCCACCAATAAGTAACGGACTAGGATAATTAAACTTAACACATTTTGGTTTAAAACTTTTTGCTGTAACTGTTAATTTATAAGAATAACTAGGACATGGTGTTCCATATTTGTAAATTCGATGACAACCTCCCTCAAATGGAACAAGACCATCATACTGACAAGGGTTTACTTCACATTTTGGATGTCTCTCACCGGGAGCAAGTGTTAGATAACTTCCTTGGGGGCAAGTACCTTGTCTGTAAGCTTCCTGACATGAAAAATTTGTTGGAGAAAATATATATGGTTCTTCACACTCACAAATAAATTTAGCCGGACGATGGTATATTGAAGGCAAATACGCATTTGCTGGACAGAATTTTAATGACTTCTAAAACAAAATCAAATAAAAAGGATATAAGAGGACTGGATTTATGTGACGTCACAAAACTAATTTTACAAAAAGAATTCGACTAAGAAAGTATTTCTCATTACTTTTTGGAAGAATGCAAATCAACTATAAGAGTTTTAGTTATAAACTATTTTTAAAGATAAATTTACGTCATTTATTTTACTAGAATGCAAGTGCTTTTTGGTTTAATTTAACTTACGCCACCATTAATCGTTTTTGCATATTTTAAGTCGTCACATTCTATTTGAAAATTCTCATTGATTCCTAAATAACTGCTATTATCACTGCAGGGATATCCAATTTTCCAAAGAGTGTGACACTGTCCATCATAAGGAACAAGACCATCAATCTCACAAGGATTTTGTTCGCATTTTGCCACAATTTCACCGGGCGGAACTATAAAATAATATCCAATTGGACAGGGACCTTTTCGATAAGCATCATAGCAAGAATTGTGTTCTTGATGATACAGTAATTTATCTTCACAGTCACAAAACTTTTCAGTCCTATCTTCATCAGCTACAAACAGTTGCAAATTGTTTGGACATTCTTTCAAATAAATCTATAAATAAAAAAATAATTTTTCAAAATCTAAGGCAACTTTTTTATCATCAACTTTGTTTTTTGGCTCCTAAAAATTCAAAAAATTGTGAAACAAAATTCTTATTTTTTTTATTATAAAATGAAACTTTTAATCAATTATTTATATCTAATGCTAAAAATAAAAATTTTTACAAAATTAAAAGAAACAAAAATTTTGTGATTCAAAATGTTCATATTAAATTACTTAACAAAGTATTTACTGTAGAATAAGTAAGACAGTGTCGTTTTACTAAATTGACATTTTGAATTCCTTACGGGATTTTCAGGCTTCAATGTTTTCCCATCAATAGCAATGAAGTCACAAATTATTGCAATGTATGTACATAATCCAATTAATATTTTCATTGCTCTACACACAATATGAATTTTTAGTAAAATCACTATTCAAGTTGCTGCTGTTTAGAGCACTAAAAGACTATCATATTGTTAATCGATTTATATAATCATGTATTCAGTGATTCAGAAAGGAAAATTTTATTTAATATTCAAGGAAAACTGGTATGACTTTACACAAAAAAAATTAATCTTTTCGATAATTCTATTGTTATCTTTTAAAAAGGAATTTAAAAATATTTTGTGTTTGAATAAAATGTTATTGACAACACTGAAAAAAACTAGTAGGTTTTACTACTTTTTAACTACTCTGAGTAGTAAAATAGGTCCTCAACTGAATTTAAACGGTTCTATTAACTATATAAAAATAGTTAAACCAATTAAAAATGTAATTGGTAGAATTACATTTTGTGATTGTATTAACTCAATTTAAAAATGTTAAAACATCTCAAGATGAAAGTAGTAGATTTTACTACTTAAAGTGGTTTAATAGGCTTTAAGAACATTTTTTTGGTACATTTAATAAATATTTTGCAATTGAAACTATACTACTACTTTAAGTAGTAAACTTTACTACTGAAAGTGGTTCAATAGGCTTTAAGAACATTTTTTTGTAGAATTAATAAATCTTTTGCAATTAAAACTACTACTTTAAGTAGTAAACTATACTACTGAAAGTGGTTCAATAGGTTTTAAGAATATTTTTTTGTAGAATTAATAAATCTTTTGCAATTAAAACTACTACTTTAAGTAGTAGATTTTACTACTTAAAATAGGAAAATAAAGTTATTTTTTATTTATAATTGTTTATTATCAGTAGAATTGACTTTTTCATCCTCTCTCCAATACTGACGCTTATTTTATGAAACGATTATGTACCTAACAGAGAAAATTTCTAACCGACGGGAATTGAACCCTCGACCCTAACGCTCGCAATCCGATACCTTAACCGACTTACCACGCACGCTCGCTACGACAGTCTGCAAACTACTCGAAGACTACTTCCTGCTTGTCCAATTGGTAATTTAACTATTTAAAGTAGTCATTTTTACTACTTTTATTAGTTGCTATAACTATCCTTTTTAAGTTTTGACTTGTAAATTTTTCATCTTTTAATTATATTATAAGTTGTTTAATTGCTTAGTGCAGTAAAATCTACTACTTAAAGTGATAGTTTTAATTGCAAAGGATTTTTTAATTCTACGACATAAATGTTCTTAAAGCCAATTGAACCACTTTAAGTAGTAAAAGCTACTACAGAAAGTAGTAGTATTAATTGGAAACGATTTGTAAATTTTACATCAAAAACGTTTTTCAAGCTTATTGAATTAATTAAAATAGTAAAAAATTACTACTTAAAGTAGTAGTTTTAATCACAAAGGATTTGTTAATTCTACAACAAAAATGTTCTTTAAGCCTATTGTACCACTTTGAGTAGTAAAATCTACTACTTAAAGTAGTCGTTTTAATCACAAAGGATTTGTTAATTCTACATAAAAAATCTTCTTTAAGTTTATCGAATTAATTAAAATAGTAAAAATCTACTACTTAAAGTAGTAGTTTTAATTACAGACGACTTGTTAATTCTACAACAAGAATTTTATTGAAGCCTATAAAATCATATAGAAATTAATAAAAAATTTACTACTCAAAAAGCAGTTATATTAATTAAAGAAAATAATTCCTTTTACTACATTTCATATAACTGGTGAATAGTAGTTGGATTTACTACTCTTCAAATTTTGAGTTGACTACAATTCCACTTGTTTTTACTACCTTAAGAAAGTTAATTTTACTACCGACCTGTAGTTGTACTTTAAGGGGGAGTTACACCTTTGACTCAAAAAAAAAATCGATTTTTTTTTTTTGCTTAAACGATACTTTATAATGTGTAGAATAGAAATTATATCATGCGAAGTGATTTTGAAGTTATTTTATGTGAAAAAAATCGAAAACCGCAGAAGGTGTCCAAGAGCGCTTAGAGTGCTTTTTAGCGCTATCGACTATTTTCTCTTTTATCGTGGTTTCAATTGCGTTCTTTTAAGTTTTAATGTTTATTTTTATTTTTGGCAATGTGTAAAACAAAATTAATGTATTAATGTAGAAGGCCAATTATATGGTGCAGGCATCGCAGATTAACGGTTAGTTCATTTTTTTATAAGTTTTCATATGTCAAAACTTTAAACGCGTTTTTCTCGAAATGACATTTTTCAAAACGGTGGACAGTCTAGCTCGAACAGTTTTGATCGGATTGACTTCGGCCAAAGTTTTTTTTTGTTCGTCATTTACTAATGCTTTAGAGTACGTAGCGGATTTTTTTTTTTTTTTTGGCAATAGATTTTTTGAGAAAATTTAGCCCTAAAAACCGACTTTTTCCTTCAAACAGCTGCCAAATTCACAAAAATTAATATTTTTAAAATATTCTACGTACTCTAAAGCTAAATCTATCACAGATTCAGAAAAACTTTGAATTTTTGTTTTAGATTAAACGGTCTAACCGGAATATTGTCCACCGATTTGCTCTGCAGAGAAACAGGACCAACTTTGGCGCCCTCTATAGGTTACAAATTTAACCTTTTTTTAAGTGTAAATATGTTTTTGTAAACTTCAAATCATAACAAATAAAGTCCCTGAAACCAAATTTTGTTTACTTTATTCCTGTGTCTTAAAAAAATTCTTGAAAAACAGGTTCAAAAGAGACCTCAAAGGTGTAACTCCCCCTTAACTACATATTTACGTAAAATCAACTATTACTTATTAACTTCTTAAAAATAATTACATTAACTACATGAACATGATTGGTGTCAGGGAAAACTGATAAAATTGACCCCCCTCTATTTCCCCCAAAATTTCAAAAAAGTAAAAATTTTTTTTGGAAATATTTTACTATCAGGTAGGACAACAATTTCCCCAAGTTTCACTTTTTTTCGAGAAATCAATTTTTTAACTCAGGACATTACATGTACATAAAATGCCTCAGTTTCAAGGAATTTATCACCGGACCCCAATTTTGTATATGTATGCGGTGCAGAGTTCTTTCCCGTGGAATGCCCCGCACATATACTAATCCACATAAAATGTTGAACAGGATGTTAGAAGTTTTATACTGTTCAAAAATTGATATAATTTATTAATTCATAGTGAGGGAATAAACGATGGTATTAATTATTAATGAAAGTTGGTTGATAACATAGAAATCTCTTTAACGTGTCCTGAACCAATCAGTGAGATTGCCATTGTGTGGGTGTCCCAAAGCGAAATTCACGGGCGGTTATAATTGCCAATTAACCCAATAAGCGTTAAATTGTTTTTTTGAAAAAGTACAAAAACTTTTCAAATGAAAAATTTGTTTTCATTAAAATTTAAAAAAAAACATAGTTTTTGGTTTATGTATATATAATTAAAAAGAGGTTGATTTAATTTTTTGAAAATAAAATATCAATTTTAATTTTCTCTCATGATATGTCTTTCTGTAACTTTTCAGATGTAAAAAAAAGAGAAAAATTAATTTTTTAAAATTGTATTTTTCGGAGAACAGCGAGATTCCTTGTACCCTAATCTATCATCCCTTAAAATTATAGACAAAAATCTTTTTTCATTTTAGAGTAAGATGTATACTACCAAAACACATTTTCCCATACTAGGTCACGTGGGAGGTTCCCACATACCCTTAATAAAGATATATCAACATATTTTTTTTACTTTTAAACTTTTCTTGAAAAAAATTATTAATATTATGCCTTTTTTTGACATTCTAGAGTGTGGTTTAACCCCTTAAAAAGAAGATTATATTATATTTATATTATATTTAATATGTAAATAAGATGTAAGTCGAAAGTTCGTCAGAAACTTATTTTTTAATAAGATTTAATCCTACCAAAATTTCTTTAGAATGTGTAAAAAAAGTTTAAGTAGAACTTAATAAAATATTTAAGAAGAAAGAAACAGTTAATAAATGCCAACTCATAATGGGAATTAAATTCAAAAGGAAAGGGAAACTTTAATGTTTAAGTACAGAATTTCTAAAGACAATTAAATTTATAATCTTTTATACTCTGTATATAATTAATTATTCAGATCGAGTTTTCATTCTGTTTTAAAATTTATTAGAATTACTCTTTTAGAATAATTTTTATATATTTATATATATATTATTTATATTTTACTTTATTATGAATGGACATTATATGAATCTCTGAAAATAAATGCGTTAAAATATAAATTTAATTAATCGCAGACAGTACAAGGTATAAGTCCGCGGGAGTTATGGCCATAGTTTTTTTAAAGGTCTGTAAAAATAAAAAGAAAGTGATTTACATATTATTAACTTTTATTGCTACTTAAACATTGAACATTTAACTTACAAATAATAGAGGAGCAAATTTTCAAAACCTGATAAATCCATATTTTCTTATTTCGAGAAAATGAAACAAATGACTTTTCTCACATAACCACTGCAGTTATTTTTAAAATATAAAATTTGTAATAGTTTAATAATGCTATAACAATGTTTTTATATTCAAGACGTTCTGTTTTTAATTAAACTTTATCATAATTTAATGATTTACAGGTATTGGTAATTTTTTCTAATAAGAAACATAAAAATTATAACTCATCTTGGTTATGTCCAAAAGTTGTTGAATTGAAAATTCGTTGTTAACAAATTTTTTTTTTTTAAATTTAACAGCGACAGGAAGATTTGTGAGGTCCTTAAAATATTAAATTTATGTTTATCTCCATTTTTTTGAAAAATGGATTTATCAGATTTTGAAAATTTACTCCTCAATAATAGAAATGAGAAATTTTTTAAATGCAAACAATTTTAAAATTAATATTTTTTAAAAAAACGCGGAATGTACGAGGGAGATGGCCATAGGCGTACGGGAGAGATGACCAATACTTTAAAATCAATCTTTAGCTTTTTGCTTTATCAAAATTTTTAATTTAAAGGGATTAAAGTCTTCTTTTCTTCTTCTGACCATATTTCGAACATTTATTATTAAATTCAGTGCAATTTTCATATAAGCGCTGTCTGTCTGTCTGTCTGTCTGTCTCACCAACACAACAAGGCTA